TGAATTGTTTTCAACCCACCTCAGTTCCTTGATCTGGTTCACTACAGAGGTGCTGCAGGTGGAACGAGTAGCCAGGTTGAAGCAGGACTGCATCTTTCAGCAGCAATGTAAACTTCTGCTGACTGAGAGCATTTATGGAACTACTGGACTAAATTATTTCCGCTCTAGTCAACAGGAAATGTACTGTCACGTAACAATGTCCTCCTGAAGTCTCCCTTCCTACCTCCACAATCCCGTTTATTTGCATGCATGAAGTAGCCATCTTCGCATAAACAACGGTAGCTTCCAGGTAAATTAGAACAGCGTTGGCTACAGCCTCCATTTAAGTCTTCACATTCATTTCTATCTAGAAGGAAAAGAAAAAAAAATCTCCGCTCAGGGCAAGGCATTCATTGGTCAGCTGTGTGGGTACACGTAAAGATGTGATTCTGTTAAATAACAGGAGAACCATAATTGTGTTCCTGAGAACTAACATCATAATGAGATGAGAAGACTCTACCTTCTTCGCATTTCTCTCCTTGCCATCCTGCTTTACAGACACATGTGTAGTTGGCTTGTCCATCTACGCAATACTTATATCCAACTTCATGGCACGGCAGAGGGCTACACTGGTTTGAAATTTCTGTAGGATGGAAACATTGGAAATACATGTTATTTGGGGTTATTTTTCTTTAAGGATCAGTTCAGTCTTTCTTCTTCTCCCACAGGTATCTTTCACCTTTCATGAAATAGGAAAGGGCTTGATGCATAACACCAAGCATGCCACAACCATCTTGCTGCCAATTCCATCAGCAAAAAAGCCACCAGTACTTTTTCTCTGTCAGAAAGAAAACGACTAGAAAGCAAACGACTCGCTAAGCCACGCTAATCCCTGAAAGAGGTCACCAAACACGGACTTGATACCATTTTCATTATATTTTAAGGACACGTTTCACTTTTTAAAGAACAGTGCCCTGCTCCATCATATTACTGCAAATTTCACTAGAAAACCAGTTTCAAGACTACCAAGAATACAAGATTGCAGAGGTGAGTTCTCTGTTCAAGGAGGGTCACCTTTACAGAGAAATTAACACCTCAGGTTGGTGGCTGGCCAGGTCCTGAAGGCAGACTGGATACATACCCATCTAATACTGGGTATTGATACGTCACAAATATTAACTTCAATGACAGACAAATTTGGATTGTAAAGAGCAACTTAAGACTCTTCATACATGCTGGTAAGACCTCAGAAAGCAAGTCTCAAAATATAAAGACTGAGGCAGAGGACACAGAATTCACTGCCTTTTTTGTTCTAGCCAGAATACATAAAGTGTTTTTTGACTTTTCCTACCATTTTCATAATGTGTTGGATTTGTGTGGCAGAGTTTTGGTAGCAAGGGAAGGGCCACAGGGAGGGCTCCTGTGAAAAGTTTCTAGAAGATCCCTGAGCTCCAAGTCAGACCATGGCTGAGCTAATTAGCACTTTTCTGGTTAACATATTTAAGAGGAGAAAAACAAAGAGACAGCAGCAGAGAGAGGAGTGGGAAACGAGAGGGATGACCAGGCAGACACCCAGGTCAGTAAGGAGAGGTCGGGGAGGAGATGGACTGTAGCAGAGGTTCCCCTCAGGCCGTGGTGAGAGGGCAGGCTGTGCCCTGCAGCATGGAGGGTCAGGGGGGAGCACAGACCCACCTGCAGTCCGGGGAGGACCCCATGCCAGAGCAGGCAGCTGTATCCAAAAGAGCCTGTGGCTCCACGGGAAGTCTGCACTGGAGCAGGCTGCTCCTGAAGGACTGCACCCTGTGGGAGGGACCCATGTTGGAGCAGTTCATGAAGAAACTGCAGCCCGTGGGAAGGACTCACACTGGAGAAATGCGTGGAAGACTGTCTCCCGTGGCACAGACGTGTGATGAACTGACTGCAACCCTCATTCCCTGTCTCTTTGTGTTACTGAGGAGGAAGGAGTAAAGAAATAGGGAGCAAAGCTGAGCTCAGGAAGAAGGAAGGGGTAAGGGGAAGGCTTAAGAGCTGGTTTTGTCTCTCATTATCCTACTCTGATTTGATTGGTAACTAATTATTTTTCTTACACAAGTCGAGTCTGTTTTGCCCCTGACCATAACTGCTGTGTGATCCCTCCCTGCCCTTGTCTCAACCCATGAGCCTTTCCTGATATTTCCTTCTATTACCCCACCAGGGGAGGAGTGAACGAGCGGCTGCGTGGTGCTGAGTTGCCAGCTGGGCCTGTACCACAACACATAATTTTACATCAGCATCCCACATAAAGCATCATTCTATTTGTGTCTTCTGAATATGCTGCTAGCTTTATGGATTACTTTTCTGCAGGCCTCCAAACATTCCAAATATGTTGGTTTTACTTTGAAGTTATGTTCTCGGAAAGCTCTGGAATGTCATTCTGAGGCATGCTTTAAAAAAAAAAATCAGTGTACTACAAGAACTGATAGCAGAATAAAAGAAGAAAGGATTTTGTGATGTTCGGGAACATTGCCTTTCATTCCACTTTTTTTAATCTGAAGACCAAAACTTGCTGTGAGTGTATACCTAAGGACTTACTGGATTTCTTAGATGTTTCTTAGTTCACTCAAAATAACTACAGAACTGAGCCCCATAGAAAGTTTAGCTTTCTGTGACTATACAAGCTTAAAAAAAATCTGTGTTAGTATATTTATCAACTAAATCTACTTCTAATTGATTTCTGCTGTGAGTAGATCCAAAAAGCCCAGAGGCCAACCAAGCTCCAAAACTATAGAGCACCCTAGAATAGGTGCTGCATGTCATGTAATATTCATATTGCAGACTAAGGGACTCCAGTTGCAGATGAATGCTGACAGAAGGGATTGCACAGAAGAGTTAAAAGAAATGGGGTTTATGTAGCGATCTTTCACAGCAATTTCCAAATATAAGTTCTAGAACAGCCTCCTTTTTTTTTTTTCCTTCCCTCTTTTTTTATTATTTACTGGTTTTGTAGGTCCAGGAACAAGTGTGGTAGAAGCACGGTTTGAGCCAAAGTATTTCATAGGTGACATACATGGAGTTACCCTCAAAGTGTGCAACTGGGGAACAAACTTGACTGTAAATGTTTCTAAGTAAAAGGCAGTGATGGCTTGTGAGAGTCTGAACTGGGAGGAGATGGGTTGGGTCAGCAGTGTGAAACATGAGTAGATGGAATGAGGTGAATTAAGGATATAAAGGGCAAGAAAATTGATGGGACCAATGAATGAAAAAAGGAGAACGAGTGAAATACACTGGAGGAAGAAGACAAGTCAGGATGGACAGGACTGGGTGGACACAGAAGTTACGTCCACAGATGAATGATTAAGATGCCACTGCAGAGAGAGTAATGTAGCATACGTTTGTTCCGAAAGCGGGCCTGGTGTTCCTCTTTTCTCAATTCAGGGTGCCTTCTGACCTACTACCCAGCAATGCTCTTTGATAAACATCTGTGATAACAACTACGTGTTGAAAGATATACTCAGCCTGCAACAGACAGGGTAGGTGGCAAGAAATGTATTGTGGCACCTCTGCCTCTCAGAGGCTCTGGTATCCATGGGGTGTTTTATGGTGAGCTGGATAGATGTAAATGCAAGGATTTTTTTTAAAGCTTATTTTCAAAAGCAGTTAAGTATGCAGATTTATGGGATACAGGTATTTAGAGACTTAAAGATGCAGCTTATATACCTTTGTGGATTAGAAAAGTATAAAAAAAGGTCTTCTACTCCTGTGAAAATTCTCCTTCTCAGACGGGGATTTATAAGTCAATATATGCACAGATTTTTATAATTTTTTGTCCAGAATTGTGTGTCTTTAAACGTGTGTTTATTAATGTTCTGAAATAAGTCATTTGGACAAATATGAAAACACTGGAATTATTTTTCAATTCTGTTTGCATTGTTACTTTATTCCTTGATATTTTTTTAAGCTTGAGATTCAAGCTAGTTACTAAATTATTATAAACTAATTCTTAGAATTATTTAATCATTTCTCATGATGAAAAATGGATTTTTCATTTGGAAAATACCAAACCAATTTGGATCGATAAATTCAGAACAAAAAAAACTTTTTAAATTAAAAAAAAATCTGTTGATATAAGTATGATAAAATCTTTGCCTCAATTAAAACATATTTAAAAAAAAAGTTACATAGTTTTAATGGGAATTTTAAATTCCACACTCTCAGCAGTAGCTCCTTTTCAGAAATGTGCATAAATTTTGCTGAACGTCTGAGCGTTAGAAACACTTGAAAATTTCACACGCACTCTCTTTACTTCTACTTTATCCAGTGACCGACCAATGGTAACAGTTTATTTAATTTGATTTTTATATTGTGAACCCAAATTGAGAAAGACAATGAGGATCTCGTAAACTAGTTGTTTTCACTGTGTAACACACAAACACTGCACATTCATACAACCCTGCTAAATCCTTTCCTCCCAGGATCTCTAATGAGAGTGAGAAAGAGTGATATGGATGGGAGCAGATTTTAGTTTGTGACAGCAGTCACGTTGGCCAGGTGATTGGGAAAATATGTTCATCCATGACCATGTGCAGAGTAATTATTACAGATTTTTTTGCCTTCCATTGCTTTCAGTGACAAAACCAGCGTCAAACAGTTAAGTATTCCTATTCAAACTCACTGAAACCTGCCTCAGTGTAACCAGGCTGTAATGGTTTAAGAGGTTTAGAGAGATGGTTCAACTGTGACAAGTAGGGAATATGGTACAGACCCCTTCCTATGAATTTACTAGAAAAAAACAGGATTCACTCCAGACTTACGAATGTATAGGCGTAAAAAATAAAATATTTGAGCAACATCACAAGTTTCGTGCTTTGTGACCTTCTTGTGTCTGGAGTCAATGACTAGGTCTTCCTGCTAATATTTGAATTTTTCAGCCTATAATGCTACTCACTTCACGAAGGGCTACAGCGTGGCACAAAAGAGAATTAACCAGACAGTCTCTTCCCTTAACTGACAGGACAGGACTTGCTAGATGCCAAGAGTCAGGCACAACTATTTAAGGCACAGTAGAGTACAGAGGATGTACTAGAGAACATCGGTGGGTTGGTGCAGAACACACTTCTGTCTTTCCAAAGAATTCTGCCTTTTGTTTTGCAGTTAATTATGTTTCTTTTCCAGCATGCTTTCTAAAGTCAAAAGCAGTCACACCACTTGCTTTGAAAATGCTCCATCTCACCTAATACTTTTTGTCTCATTTCTGATCCAGATGATTGAGTTTGCCTGAGTTAAATGGAGATTTGTCTCCTTTTCTGCCTATGTGAACTGCTTTTGAGCCATGTACAAGTGTGTTCTTAGATCCGAGTGCATTAGGTGAAGTATCCAACAAGAGCACTTACCACTGACACAAGCCCTCAGGTCAGCTGGAGAATCTGGAGTAACTGCAGTCACCCTGAAAATCCCTGCTCGATGGGAGGCGAGGCAGCCTGCAAACACAAACCCACACAATCTGCTTATGATACAAACATATTATTTAGGCTGAAATTACAACAGCTTATGTATCTCATCTTCAAAGAGTCTGTTCCCACAGCATAAATCAGAAAACTTGTCCGGGCCTATCAAGGACACCTGATCACAGACCAACCTCCTGCGTGCCTCTGCTGGGATCTAAGCATAGAGACCTGCTTAGGAGCTACTACGTGTTACAATCAGCATGGAAATCGTTCAGGCGCTATGGGCAGAATAACCAAACTAGTATTATACAAATAAGAAGACCAGCAAATGATAATGTAGAGTTGTTCCGGTTTTTTGTACTTACTTAAATATTTGGGATAAAAATAGTCCTGCAGAAAGAAAAGAAAAATAAGGAGTAAGAAAAATGTAAGGTACATAAAATATATCACTGAATACATTCTAAAATACAGTGGTATTATAACTACAGAAGAAGCAAAGTAGAAAAAGTCACTTTGGCATAAAGAATATAGACCAAATTTTCTATATCACTATTGTTTAAGCTAAGACAGCAGACTTTATTATATACACAAGTCTTAGTGGAGAACTTTAGATACTGTGCTGAACTGGACACCTCCAAAGTAAAAGCAATGAAAATGAATCGGGTATCAAAATGCTTTGAAAATTGTCTCTTTAAATGGGAGGATCTTGCCCAATGTTGCTACTGGATGCAGAGCAGCCTCCTTAATTTACTTTTTTCACCCTACGATGAACAAAAAAATCCTTGGAATAGGTAGAAACTCACACGCAATTCATTGTAAATAAAGTGAAGCGTGTTACTAAAACAAAAATTGTTGAAGCCAACTGATTATTGATTACTGAAACTATTTAATCTTAACAATCAGTATATCCAAACACAAGCAATGTTATCAAACACAGAACATAAAATTGACAAAGTTTGCATAACAAGAATTAATTTTAACCATGCCTATTTTGTAATAACTGCTTTATAGTATAAAGCTGAATAAATATATCCAATACTAAATAATGTGCAGTGGGAATGAACTAAGGAACAGAGTTCTCCACCCTAGGAAAAAAGTTTGCAGTGATATCTCCAATCTCTTCATTAGAAGGGCTGCACTGCCATGAATCCTCTGTGTAAAATTTTAATTGAAGCCAACAGTGTTTTCCCCCCTGGAATGCTTGCAGACAACTGTGGCCTAAAACTGGTGATGCGTACTGGAAATTAAAATAATATCTACTCAACTGTTCTCTTTGCTTATGCAGTCTTCATGAATAATCATGCAGGTTCTACACACAAAAGAATTTCAAACCAGTTCTCGGTCTGCATGTTGGGGTTTGGGGATTTTTTTTTTAAGCTTTGCAGTGTGAATTCTATGTACTTCTAGCTTTCCCTCTGCAAAAATCTACTATCTCACAGATACTCATCAGATACTTACAGTTTCAGGATTATTTTCAAAGATTTCCCTGGCTTCTTCCTTATTGCACAATTCTTCAATGCACTCTCTTTCTAAATTTCCTTTCTTACTTTCTTCCATGAAAGAATTTGCTCGACGTTTCCTCACCAGGAACTGAGAGGCATACTGCTGGGATAAAACTTTGTAGAAACAAAGGAGCTCTGTTGTTATTTATTTATTTTTAAAAGCTGAAAAACACTGTTAGCACTGAACAAATACGAGGATCTAACACAAAAATCGGAATTAAATGCTGAGTCAGGAGTTGCTGTTTGCACTCATTTTGGAGAATGTGGGAAAAAAATCCTCGTAGTCTGCTCTGTGTATGTGGGGTACCTGTTTCTGTCCAAAAAAATCCTGAGTCGCCAAAAAAAGAGTTTGTGCAATGCTACACCTGAAGCATAATTTAAACGTCCTATTCAGGTCAAGTCTTTCTTTTTTAGCTATGGATATTCTAAAGTGAGATGTGTGATCAGTAAGTGAAAAAAAGCGGTGAAGCCTTTTATGTTACCTGTTTCAGTGATCTAGAATTAAATATTCTGATCCTATTCCACTTATGTGAGACCAAAAACGTGTCTTATAAAATCAGGCTACCTGTTATATGTAATTAACAGAAATGTTATTTTCTTTTTCAGAACTGTGAAGAACAAGACAAAGTAAAAGATGAGAATGATATCCTGATAAATATCAAGGCAAACAACTCGGAAATACGTTCACATTTTACCAAGGCAAAAAGTTAGCTAACTTGTATTTCAGAGCCACCACGTTATGTGTCATTACTTCATTTTCACGTATCTTGTTACTGTCATTTTACTGACTTTTACACAAATGGTGAACAAGTAAGTGAGCTGAGAAATGATATTAAAAATGAAATATGTCTGTTTGCTTCGATGTGGTTTTGTAGAGCACACAACACTACAGGAACAGCAACTAAATTAAACTGCCTCGTTAATTTAATTTTTGGACATACCTTGTGATTAAGAGAAAAATGGATGAGCATAATTGGAAAAAGTCCAGCTCATAGGGCTAAAGCTTTGGGCTGACACAGGTTAATGAGAGAGCACCTACCCTTCTTTCACCAGCCTTTGCACAACTTAACCTTCCAGACTGGCACAACTGCGTGAGGGTCACGACACCTGCAGCACCAACCAGCTAGGGTGCACGTGCATATTCATCTGTCTGTGAAGATCAAGTCAAGCAGACAGAGTCAATTCCTACTGCTCGTGAGCACGTAATGTCTCTAGCCCAGAGTACTTTTATGAGACGTGCCAGCAGCCAGGGGTCAGGGAACAGCCTGCCAGTGTCGGGGTGCTAACAGGAGAGAAAAAACTTAAAAGCCTTATTAGAAAGGGGAGCTGAAGAGGCCCAGAACTTGAAGTGAGAATAGCTTTCAAGTGACATGCGTAATTAAAACCCTAACAGCTTAACCACATTGCTAGAGGTCTTTGTCAAGTGGCGGGCAGCACAACTGAAGCACTAGCGAAGTGCTGCAACGTTGGATAAGGACCTGAAGAAATCTTCGTTACAGCACTGAAGGTGGGGTAAGCTTGTCACTTCAAACTAATCTACTAGCTCTCATTCTGGAAAGATTAATCTTTCTGGTAAGACAACAGGAAAGCTTTCCTGAGCAAAAGCTGGACCCTACTGTAGCATACCTCCGAAGTTTTGAAGCATGCCTGCAGAGATCTCACAGAGCAACCAGCAAATTGCTTAGAAATAAAAAAAAAAGAAGCCAGCTTGTGCCCTTCTCCACCACTGAGTATATCAGCAGGCAACAGTCTGGTATTTGAGGATTCATTCCTTCTTATATCCGTGTTGATCGACATTGTGGTCATACTGGAGAATGAAAAGAACTCTGTAAGGTGAAGACTGATCCTCAAGAAAACTGCTCAGAGAAAGAAAAGTCTTATCTCACTTTCTGGGCCGCCACTTCAAGAAATTCTTGGCACAAAAGAAATGATTCAAACGATTCTCTTGTTTTCCACTTTCCCAAATCTTAAGGTACGCCGTAAGTACCTCTCTATGGCTGTCAACAACGTACTTCAAGAGCTGGATTTGGATTCTCTGGTTGTTACGTATCCTTCATACAGCAGTTAGGAGGAGCAATGAATTGGAAACTGCTGCAACTGTGGATCTCCTAGACCACCTTTCTCAATGTAGGAGCCCACCGCTAACACACCATCTGCTGTGAGACTGGCAAAAGGCACAGCGAGATCGCAGGAAAAGAGGGGCCTCAGGAGAGCTCTGCCGAGCTCTAACTGCACTGGAACACATACCCAGGAAAACGTTTTGGTAATTTATTTGTCACCAACTCTTGGTAGCAGTGTCATTTTAAAAAATTTGGGTAAATGGCCCTATTGGTCATCACGTAAAAGTAGACTAATGAGAAAGACGCAGAAATTCCATTTGTCCTGAGGCAAAAGAAGTGACAACAAAATAGTGAAGTTCTGCATTACACCTGCTAATTTTGTTCCTACGGGAGGTTTCTACCAGCACAAACATGCTGACTGGGACAGAGACTCTGTGGTGCAGATGAGGCCTAACTCATCACTGACTTTAAAAAAATCTCATTTTGACCTTTAGCTACATCATTCTCATTTTGACAGTTTTTCAGTAAATAAAGCAGAAGAAAAATTCCAAGTGCATGCCATGTTCCTGAGGACATTACACCAGATTTAACACTGCCTACCTCACCTTTTCAGTACAGTGGGGTAACAGAAACTGGTCTTTTCTCCTACGTCACAACAGTTCAGCCTCCTCCTAAGCTGATTTTCTATGACTTCTGAGTTTAAATAAAACATGTAACTCAATGCAAATTCCC